CTCTTCTCTTCTCTTCTCTTCTCTTCTCTTCTCTTCTCTTCTCTTCTCTTCTCTTCTCTCTCTCTCTCTCTCTCTCTCTCTCTCTCTCTCTGTATACAGGCCTTGTTAGACCAGTCATTGATTGGCCACTCCCACAAGCTCTGAGCCACCAAATTGCTCTAGCATATCTTGTAGGCAGGACAGACGTTGGTCAAAGGTTTTGTGGCTGTGTTGGTGTCCCAGTTCCACTGCTGGGAGCCTTGCCTGGTTACAGAAGATGGCCAGTTCAGGATCTGCATCCTCCTTTACTAGTAGGAGTCCTCACTAGAGTCAACCTCATAGGTTCTAGGAAGTTTTCACATAGCACCCTAAATGCCCCCCTATTCCAGTAGTCTCTCCCTGTACTCTATCTCTCTACCCCCCAACCTAATCCCCCCTGTTTCCATGTCCACTAGAGATCTTTAAAGGCTAGGTTCACGACCCAAAAGACAATATTCATTAAAAATGTCTCATAAGCACTTATTCATTTCTTGACGATTCACGTAGGCAAATGAATGCACATGACAGTATAAGCTTTTCAAACAATGCATTTAAAAAATCTGATGACATACAGTTGTATACCCATGAATATGATACATACATATGTATACATATGCTTATGTGGTTCTATTTATTGCATTTTCCTTTTTTCTAATTTGAATGTGGATTGGCCTTAAGATATGTATCATCATAGATGAGGGTAGCTTTCTTCATCACCAAACCCATCTCCCCTCCTTCCTGAATTCACAACAGACTGTGTTTTCAGTGTTGCCTAGTAGTTTGGTGTGACTTTTCCAGTTAGTCACATCTCTAGCTAGTAGATGGGATGAGAATTGTCTCTGTTCCTTCCAGTACAAGTCCTAAAATCTCTTATGCACAAACCCTTCTCGTGTTGTACTGGTCAGGGGCATATTGGTGACCACAGTGACTGTGCAACTGGGTGTGGAAGGTGCCCTTAATGTCTGAAGGGCTTTCAGGAACACCCCTGCTAAACACTCACCCTACCATTAGCCAGTGCTTGGACATGTGCAGGAAACCAGTTTCCTTGTGCTAAGACACTGAAATTCTAGTTTGTTGTCAGAAGTTGTTACTTCAAACTTACACAGATCTGTGGAGATAACAATGTAGAGGGGGTGTGTTATTGTTTGGCCAGAACCATTACTTCAGTTACCATGTTTGACAGGCATTGAAATGGTCAGCAGTGTTTGTTAAACTGCTTAACCCCACTGAGGAGAAGTACAGGATTCAGGTCACCATTTCAAATGTGGGTGTTTGGCAACTATGCCAACAACCTCAAACATTTTGTGTTGGTTTGCTTATCTCTGGTAATGTTTGAGAATGCCAACTTTTACACATCTTGCCACTTAGGCATAGAATTGTAATTTTTTTTCAATTAATTGGAAGTAATGAATTTTTGTTGGCATTTGTATTCTCAGAATTTTGAGGGAGATGATGTCCCTTTGTGTGTAGTTTTGAGCATTTCTGTTTTGTTTTCTGTATCCTACACACCTGTGCCATTTGGACATACCTCTAAAGGCCATTTCTCTTTCTGGGGTTGATGCAGATACAACAGAACAGTGAGAGATTACGAGAGGTCATGTCATCCACTCCTCAGTGTAATTCCTGGCATGGGAGCACATTGGAGAGTTTTTGCAAAGTTCAAAAATATTTATAGGTTTTTGACTCTTACTACAATGGCATAAGCTGTTATTCTTGGCATTTTGTGAAAGAGGACATAATATTGAAGGGATTAAGGGGTTAATTGCCAGTATTAAATAATTACTTAATGGTAGAGCTAGATAAGGTTCCATAACTCTTACTAGTAAGTCACTGCTTTTGTGAGGTGACTTTTCTGTATACATTTCTGTAGTATTGACCCAATAATGCTTGAAATCATCATCACCACTGCCTCGCTACCAACTTCACTACCATCACCATAGCCATTGCCATAATTATCCATGTGTCATTGGTTATTAGAAAAAAACAACTAAGTATAACACCTTACAAAGAGCACTGTTTTTTAAGATTTATTTTTATCTGTGTGCATGTGTATATGTGTCTGTGTATATGTCACATGAGTGCAGTGCCTGTGGAGGCCAAAAGAGACATTGGATCTTTGGTACTGGAGTTACAGGTGGCTGTGAAATGAACCCAGGTCCTTTGGAAGAGCAGCACGTGCTCTTAACCAGTGAACCATCTCTTCAGCCCCAAAGAACATTTTTTACCAGACACCTGTAGAAGATTGAAAATACAACAGTTCCTATGAGAACTATCAGCAATAAGGCTGAGGTTGGTTTCCAATAGTGGTCATTGATTGGCTGACTACGATCTTGCACTTTGCAGAATGAGTGAGTTCTCCCTTTCTCATATCTGGTCCATAGAGGAATATGCTTGATGAGTACTAGGTCATGATAGTTCTTGGAATTTACCACAGAATGTATTAGTACCTGCATTAGAGGACCTTCAAATTTTCTGGAGGAAAAAAAAATGAAGCAAAAAAAAAAAATGTAACCAAAATACAACCCAGGGCTGCATTTCTATAGTTTTTCACACACAGTGTCGGGGACACTTAGAGAGGAGGTAGTCACTGTGGTTGGAATTTCTTGGAGAAGTTTGCCTAATAGATGGCATTTGTTTGGGGTAGCACCAGGTAACTATTTCTTACATTGGAGTTTCTAGATTTTGTGCTTAGTAGTATTCATACATATCAGATCTTGTTTTGCTCAATAGTATTCAGCCACGGTGTCTTGAGTTACATGAAGCTAAATACAACCAAACACCAGTATCAGATATCCCTTGGCATTACTGTGCAGCAGCATTCAGAATTCAAAAAGGCCAACATGCCCCATTTATCATTATAAATTACTAATATAATTTCAGCAAAGGAAGAACACAATAAATATTTTTTATAATAACCATATATATATAACCATATGCACACACACATATACAGTATTTGTATGTATATATGTTTATGGTGTGTGCACATACACACATACATGCTTTCACAGGCCACAGTACATGTGTGGAAGTCAGAGGACAACTTGCAGCTGTCAATTTTCTCCTTCTAACACATATGTCCCAAGTATCTTATTCAGGTCATCAGGCTTGGCAGCAACTGTCTTTATGCTGTGCCATCTCACAAGCCCAGCACTCCATAATTATTTGTTAAACTAAATTAAATCAAGTGGTGTCTGGATTCATATCATTGTTGCCAAGGCTAACTTAAACTTACAGTGATAACGATGCTATTAGTTATGTCTTTCTATAAAACAGGATATATTTAAAAGTCAGCAGTTGGAGCTGGAGGATGGCTCAGCAGTGAGGAGCACTGGGTGGAGGATGACTCAGCAGTGAGGAGCACTGGG